TTCCTTGAAATCCTGCTCTTAATGAAATTGAAATTTTATTTATGATTAGTGGCTAGCAAATTAACTACAATTAAAATAAACTGTACACAAAAGCATGCTCAAAATACAGTAAGAGCAATAAAATCACCACATGCATGTGCTTGTTAAAATTTAAGAAAAGAAAAGAAAAAGAGAGAGACTAAGCAAAAAGAAATAAAATAAAGATAAGCATAAAGATTTCTTAGTGACAGCATTAAGATTAAGTCATCTTGACCTTTCTTATGGTAATCACTACTGATAAAAACATAGCACTCTGTTCATAATCTCAGGATTCTGTCTGAGAACAGAAAATGTGCCATGTTCCCTCATGGAAAACAGGATCTCTACTAAAGGATAACACAGAATAATAGCATGTAAATTGCATAGAAAGGACAGTAAAGAAATATATCTCATTCTGAACATAGGGCCAATTTCTCTCAATAAATGAAATTTTATGAAATCTGGGATCCTATATTGCCCTTAAGTGAGCCAAAGAAAAGGCTCTGTAGTGTGCTGAGTAGGCTAGACTGATCAGGGTGTGCACAGGTCTAAAAGGTTTCCAAGAAGAAACTCATTCCTGTAGATTGTCTGTAGCGCTCAGGTCTTGTCTGATGCTGAAGATTCGTGATGAATCTTGGCTTTCACTTTCTCTAGGTGTAGAAGTAGCAAAAAGCAGATATAGAGGTTGCAGTAAAACAGGCGAGCTAAGATACTTACCATCTATCTTGATGCACAGTCTTCCAGAAGAATTCGTGAGGTTAATGGATCATGAAAAATTAGTTTGTAGTATGTAGTCATATTAGGACGGGTGTTTTTTTTGCAACAGTTTGGAAGCAGGTTGTCATACTTTCTTCCGGGATATTCTTTTCAAATTTCCATCTTAGAATTTTATGCATGGTTTCCAACAGTGCATTTTAAGGCTAACCAAGGCTGGCCAATGTTGCTATCTGATAAAACATCTCTATCGCAGTCATGAAAATCGTATTGACAAACAAAATAGTCAAGAATCAACCTCAATCTGAAGTTTACCTTAGTTTAAAGATGCATGCATTAGGGCTAGAGTGGCAATACTTTTTAAGGTGATATTGCTAAGATAAACACATCAATTCCCATGGAACCTGTACTTTCATTTATTTACTGTTAACAGTTCTTAAAGTTCCTGACATGTACCAGAAAATAACTGCACATGCCACAAACAGTAACAGCTTGGTTGTACTATCTTGAATCCTTCAACAACAACAACAACAACCACCAATGTATAAAATGGTCTGGAAATGTTCTATG